AGCAAGAGGGGTCTCATTTTCTATTTGATGGCTCTGTAACTGAATAAGATTGAAGGTTAAAAAAATTATGCTTTGCCTGAGTGGTGACAACATTGTAATGAGTAACTTATGTTAAATTCATACCTCTTAAAGGGGTGGTAAATAAATTAGAGAAGATAAAATGTCACAATTTTCATACTAGGGGAAATTCCAGATTTTTTTAATATTATCTTTTGAAATTAAGAACTTAAAACTTATATACTCTTAAAATATCGATTATTAGCTATGTTTTTATTTTATACTTATTGGTATACCATGAAAATAAAGTAGTTTAATTAAATTTTGAATGTAACTCACTTAAACCTAGTGGCATGTACTGAAAAATATGCTCTTGGAAAGTGGTTTAATATATCATCAATATGAAACAGGTTCCAAAATACTTTGGAATGAAATTCTTCTCCTATACCAACCCAAGACTAAAAAAGAAACATTATTTAGAAACTATAGAAATCATCAGAACAAATGATCTCTTACAACAATGTGATAATGGCCCTAGCAACATCAGCCATATTTGACAGGGTTTATACATTAGACATACACTTGATCTTTACCTAGATCCTGTCACATACTGACATTATTTATATCACATTTAAACCCTGTGTCTTTGTAACGATATATAAACCTTGGAGTACTGAAGAAAAGTAGTTTGTTCCACCATCAGTAAAATTATTCCTTATGCTTATAAGTTGTTGTTTGCCTACCTATTATTATCTTAAAATAATGTATTTTCTTCTCAAGAACCAACATAATGTTGTAAGTGTAAAATCCTCAAAAACCCATATCCAAACAGTTAAAATTACTTATGTTGCTTTATGATGTAGCACCTTAACCCTAAAGTTACATACAGGGTCCCTCATCAGATTTTTAAATACATTTTACTGAATTATTTGTGTACCAAACAGAAATACCACGATTATTGTAATTAATCCTGAAAACATACAAGTTATGTATAAAAATATAAACAGAAGTACCATCAATATTGTAATTAATCACAACAATTTTCCTAGGGTTTCCTATATATTTCACATAGAAATTGAGAATTATTACATAAAACTAAGCAACAGAACCTAATTTCAAAAATAATTACTTTTGCAATATTAAACTTTGAACTTTAAATTAGTGAATTTAAAATGATGTATTTTCACAAAAATAACATAATCAGGACTGCAAGTAGCAATTTAAGTTTAGTGTGGAAACACCACATATGGTGTGATATCAAAACACAGATTCAAACTATAAAACAAGTATTACAAGAAAAGGTGTTCACAGGTGATATATCAGTGACGATTCTAAAACAATAAGAAAAACCATTCCTTCTTAACAAAAGAGATTAATAAATGTATATATTACTAAAAGTAAGATTCTAATTACTTTCTAATCTTTTACCAAACCACAGGTTCTCTGCAGTCTAAGTGACCCAGGACGTTTCACATGGGACAAAGCACTTTCAGTAACTTTTACTGTGCTAACTCCATTTTATCTAAGTGGATTATTTAATAATCAAGGATGAAAAACAACAGAAAAAGGATCATCAATGTAAAATAACCCAAAACTCTCTAAAAACATAGTGACTAAACAGTCAGAAATGTAATTCTCTGATATCATTTGTGCTATTTTTTATGTAATCTCACATATGGACCAAAATTCACGCATCAAGCAGTGTTTGCTAACATAAAATTACAACTTTAACATTAAAATTAAATGTGGGATGGTAACAATATAGTGGGAATACATTTCAATTTGAAATAACAAGTTTAACACTAAAATCAAGTTTGGATTGGTGACTCAGAAGAGAGAGAGAGACATTACAGTTGAGATATTTTTTTATATGGAATGACAAATTTAACACTGAAGTCAAGATTGGATTGGTAATTCAGAAGAGAGACAATAGAGTGTCACTAAAAAGTTTGTTAATGTTATTTTTTTAATTGCCCTTTATACTAACTCTGACATTATGGAATATCACTACATATTTGCAATTTTCTTCCAGTTGTTACGTCTGTGGTCGTTAGTTAATTACTTGTAAAATTTCTTTCCGATGAACTTCATCGATACAAGTCCTTTCTTAAATAAAACTAGTTTATTCTTTCTCAATACAACTTTGCAATACACTTAATTTCCACAGTCACTTAACACAGGCTACAATTCTCAACGAACGATTCACGCACTTTAGTTACTACCGCGCTTAACTCAATTGTACATCTATATCTTCAATCTCTCTGTCTGCTATTCCATTGTTGCCATCACTTTATTTACCGGCTTATATACTATAAGAGCGCCATTCTAGCAACTATTAGGACATTCGACAAGTTCCTCGATCTTTCTAGATACTCATTACGTGTTACCAGAATCATGTGACCTCCGCTGTTGTAACACTGCCCTTTCGGTAGTATTGTTCGTCCTGAACCATAGCCACTTAAATTAAACCCATAGATAATTAACAATAACTTGATTAAATGTACAGAATTTACAAACACAAAATTAAAATTCAACAAAGTCTCTTAATTTTACGGGACGTATCTTCTTCCGTACTGGTCTCCGTCTCGTTGGCTTCTGCTTCACGTAAAGTTCATCTGCTCCATCAGGAAATGTCTTATTATCAGTAATAGTCACATCAGTGGTAGTAACTTCATCAAGGGCTTCACTGT